CAGTCTATGCCAATGATGGGCTCTCAGCAATACTGGATGTCATGAGGTCCTGGCAGTGTGGTGTCATGGAAGTCACACCACCTGAGATGCCAATGTCACCAACACTCACAAGACGAGGGGTTATCTTTTCCAGACCTCTCTTCTAACAGGTCAGGGACCCGTGTTGGTCCCCAGGACCCTAAGAACCCCAATTCTCATCTTCCTTCTAGAGGAGACAGCACCTCACAAAAGCCATTGTTCAGGGACTTGCTGCACAGAAATCAGACACAGGATGTAGACAGGACGGAGGCCTTCATGTGTGTGATCCCCCAAACCACTAAAGGATTTTGTCAGCTGGGGCCTCTGTCATTTTTCATCCTTCACTCCAGAAGCTCTGAGGGCTCCTCTGTGCCTCACCCTCCCACAGAGGAATGGAGGGGACTTGTGACAAGGGTAGTAGTTTCTGCCTTCCTGAAACTGAGAATGAAGCTGTATAAAATTAATAGGTGCTATTAAATGTAATGTCTTTGAGTTGAAAAGGAAAAGCCATCTCTCTGCTGCCTGGGAAGACCTGGGCTTGAGGGTGTCATGGAGTTCTTTGAGGGTGTCTCATCCTAGTATGAATTAGGTCCTACCCCAGCCAATTCCCTCTTTCTGGCTGGCACACTCATATCACAGCGTCTAAACGCACTCACACCCAGCAAGCTGAGCTTCTGTCTTTGTACCACTCTACCTGTTTCTTGACTCGTGCTTATGCTGGGATTTTCTTTTCAGAGCTGTCAGGATGCGTTTCCTACTTGGCTACCACCAGATCCTGGCTGGCACCCCAGCACTGTTTGCATAGCTTTGTCCATGTGGGCAGGGCCAGGAGGAATGAGCAATAGCTTCCCTGTGCCATGAATCTTGTTAACAAGTCCCAGCCAGAGAGCAGGTCCTGCCCCGCCAGAGCCCTGCCCCACAGAGACAGCAGGGTTAGGAAAAAACATTCACTGGGCCCCAGCTTGGGAGGGTCTTCTGCTCCCTGCAGCCCAGCAGGAGAGATTTGTTCAGAACACAGGGCTAGGGAGGGACACTTAACCAAGCACGCATGACTGGTGTTCTATACTACATAGTCACACACAGTGCTTCCTGGGATCTTCCTCTGACCCTTGAAGGCCTTCAGCCATCACATTTACAGAAAGAACACTGGGGCTCAAATCTTTAAAGTGACCCTAGGTCAGGGGTAGAGCCAGACCAAAGCCTGTGGCTACCTGAGGCCAGCACTCAAACCTGGAACTTCCCACCATGTGACCACTGAGAGACATTTGCCCAGGAAAAGCCTTTCTGAGGTGCACCAGGCTGGTGATATGATAACCTGCCATTATGACAGACACCACCATGCCTAGTGGCAAGAAATCGGGGCTGTGCCTTAGACTTGGCTGTGTTAGAGGCTTAGCCAGGAGGATCACAAGTTCAAGCCCACCTTGGGCAATTCAGTGATTTAGTAAGACCCTACCTCAAAATAAATAAAAAAGGGCTTGGGATGTAATTCAGTGCACAGGCTCTAGGTTAAAAAAAAAGTTGCCCTTGGCATAGGAGACTCAGGAAATATCTGCTGATGTTGTCATGTTGGCACACTACAGTTGTAGCTGAGAATCAGTGTGCCCATCAATGTGCTCAGGTTCCTCTTTTTGAATGACAGAAATTTTTCTTCCCAGCAGCCGTATCTTTCTGGCCCTCTCTCTACCTGGTTGTAGCACGTCACCAGGGTGCAGGCCTCCTTTTCTAAAGCCAGTTTCCAAAATGATCAACAGTTCCAAAAAAGGAGGAGGAGAGGTCATTGGGTCTGTGTCCCTCCTTCTGCCCCTCCCTGACCGCTCACCTGTGCAGCCCACATGGAGGAGGCACCTGGCCTGTGCTTAGAAGGCCAGAGAGCATCAGGGCTGTCCTCTTCCCTCCCCCTCCCTGGGAGGCATTGCCTGGTATAGTCAAATCATTTCCATCAGATATTTTTCAAATTCAGAACCTAGGAGTCTAATTTTCAGTGAGAAGGAATATATTTAAAGATCCAGCAGGGCTGGGGACTTAGCTCAGTGATTCTGCTGCCTACCTTGCAAGCGCAAGGACCCAAGTTTGATTCCCAGTACCAAAAGAGAAAAGATCCAGCATTTTTAAATCATAATGTCTTTATCAGGATGCATGTAACACTGCTCTGTTCACCCTATGAAATTGAGTTTTTCACTTAGTGGGTGTATTATGTGAATAAAAGTTTACTTTTTAAAATTGACTACCTTAAAAGCCAGAGCAACCAAGCAACTTGCTGGGCCCACTCAACTCATGGTAGACAGGTAGGTGCCCACTGTCCCTCTTGTCCTGCTGGTCCCACATTTACAGCTGCACCACAGGGCCAGGCCCATTCTGATTCCTTTCTGATACCAGTGTTTCTGGAAATTCCCTTAGCTCCTTGGAGCCCTGCTGTGCATCTAAAAATGTCCACTATGTCTAAAAGGCTGTTTCTCATGATGCCTGAGCCATTCCTGCTCCCAACTTGCTGCTTCTAGCTGATGATATAGCCACCACTAACAGACACAGTAGGCTTCCCTCACCACAAGGAAGTTCTATGGAGTCCCTGTGTGTTACATTGGCCTTAAAAGTAAGGCAGGTGCCCAGGCCAGGCTCGGCAGTGCCTGCTAAGAGCTCCTGTCTTTGGACAGATGTGACAGACCAGCTGCAGGGAATGACTCACAGCCCCATCAGGAAAGCAGTGAAACAACATACCATATTCCAAGTCTGAGACAATTCACTATGCACATGGCATTCAGAGAGCCTCAGAGTCCTGGAGGACCACTAACTTCCTACTGAGTTGGGAAAGCTTAAGCAGACCAAGATGACATCTGATCAGCCATGGCCAGGTAGGGAATAGCCAGATAGAATGAAGCTGAGCTGGCCTCACCCACCCACCCCACCCCTGTCAGAAGCCCCTCAGACAACTTTCTCCTGATAGTCACTCAAAGCCCTGACTTCAAAGTCAGGATGTCTCCATTCCCAGCTACTGCCCCAAAGGGAGGTGCTTAGCTTATTCAGCTGACGTCAGGCTCATGCTCATGACATACATCTACCTGCCTCCTTTTCCACAAACCCATCTGAATTAGCCCCCAACTCTCACTGCTACAGGATAGCCCCTCCCTAGACCTCTTCATCCCATTTCCCCACAAGGTCTGAAATGTGGTTAGGAAGACATTATCAACTGGATGTCTCACCCTGGTTCACAGCCACACCTGGGGTGGGTAGGCTGTTCCCAGCCCTTGTGGACTCCTCTGTGCAGCCTGGTTCAGTCTTGTCGGAGTGGGCCTATGAGTGGAACTTCTTAGCCCAAGCCAGCCAAACTGCCTCCATCCCTTTGCATCTTCTCCCAGTTGTCTCACTATGCTGCTGGGGATCTTGATAAACTCACCCTGTAAACAGGCAGCAGACAATCTGCTCTGTTCTTTGAAGGGATTCACAAGCCCCTACAGGCTCTACTTCCAGAGACCAAGAGAGGAAGTTCTGATGACACATTCTCACATTCCACACTGGTTTACTAGGAGCCAGGAATGACATCTTTGTATATGCTGCTGAAGTGAGCACAGGAATGACATCTTTGAGTTAATAACACACCTGTGCCAGCCAGATTGGGCAGTTTTGATTTTTCAGTTAGCAAACCTTCCAATAATAGCATTTTAACAATGAAATTTTGAAGGAAAAAGGTGTTCTTAATTTTTGTCCAAAGAGAGAAAAAAAGACTTCTAATAGTAGTGTCATTATAAATTCTAATGTGCTGACCATTTGGCTGCCTGACAAACTGCAAACTGCATAGCTGGTAATTAAAGATCTAAGTCAATGCTTTATCAATAAAGTGATAGGCATATTTTTTTCAGCCCTGTCAGAAATAGCAGCACATAACCATGTGAAGAATTGTCACATAGTGCAAGTCTTTAAAATTCCTTTTGGATTTGAAGGTATTAACAAGTCCCTATCAACATTCTCTAAAGGTTTTTGATGTCATTTTAGCTATTGAACAAAAATATGTGAACTATTACTTTGTTGATTTTGTTCTTAAACCAAACTGCATTATCATCAGAAAGTGTGTTCTTAAAGTATTGTTAAAAGTACTTTGAAAACTTGTAAATCCCTGTAATTTACGTTTCTCCTGCCTCTGCTATTTCATTCTGTCCTTCTGGTTTTAATTTGAATGCAGTCCTGTCTGGGTGTGTACCTGTAAAATTGTGTTTTTCCAAGTATAATTTACAGACCTGACCTTGGGTTTTACAGTGTTCCCAACCTTCTTAGAGCTTCTTCCTGTGGCATGAAGTGGGCTTTGGGTCACCCAGCTCTTTCGTATTAGAACTGTCTAATCAAAGTTACTCGAAACAGATCTGATTCTGGCATTTTTAGTTTATCATGTAGGCCTCGGGAGTAAATTAGGAAGGCTTCCCTGCAAGCCCATTAATTGCATTGCTCTATTTCTTAAAACGTACACAGTTGTAAACCTAGACTGTTTCAAGACAACGGTCTCATTTATCTAAACAATTCTCCTTTTAGATTCAATGGCACTGATGGAAACAAAGATAAGGAGTATGGATTGGAGGAAGGGTCTTTGGAGCCTGTGCTGGCTGAAACTATGTTCCCATTCAGACCCTTTTCTTTCCATGCCTGGCCTACATACGGAATCGATATGTCTGCATGCAGGGCATCTAGTGAGGGTCCATGGGAGGGCTCCAGTGGGCAGGGCCAGGGAGCTCTCTGCAGGTTTAAGGACCCAGCTGCCGTGCTTTATTAATAAAGTCCTATGGATTCTGAGTTGGAAGCTGCATCTTTCATGGATTATAATAATTTTTAAATATCTATGCAGGTTTTGGAGTATTTTCCAAAATACACTGGGAAATAATTTATCTTTATTTTCTGCTCTGTGCAAATGTAATTCAGTAAGCTTCAGTAGAAACCAGGGCCTCTTCCTTACACCCTGGCACTGTGCTCCGTGGTTCTGACGCCCTCTGTTCTAGGTGATCGTGCAGTCAGGCCGCCACCCCACGGTGCTGCAGAAGCTGTGCCAGCTGCCCTTCCAGTACTTCAGTGACCCGAGGCTCATCAAAGTACTGTTCCCTTCATTGATCGCTGCCTGCTACAACAACCTCCAGAACAAGGTCATCCTGGAGCAGGAGATGAGCTGCGTCCTCCTGGCCTCGTTCATCCAGGTAACCCCTAGCTACACCCTGTTCTCTGGCTGTGTGTATGAACAAATGCCACTGAAAACAAAGTAAAAGTGAACCAGCTTATCACTCGGGCCCCTTACACTACTTTAAAACTTCATCTATTTCTGTGCTTAAAACTTAATTTCTGCGGTATCAGAGTAGTTCCTAAAATACCACTCATAGAACTGAGGTTGAGTGTTATATACTTTCTGCCTTCAAAGAAAGGAAGCTGTTACTGTTAATGAAATAGAAACCTGCATTCAAATATGTATTTCAGAGAGCACCAGACTTCAGGGCTTTGGCTCCTACATTTATCTTGCTTTTAGTCTAATTTATAGGAAGGGGCAATAATTGCTGAAAAAAATCTATTAAATTTCAGTTTATTTGTAAATTCTTAAATAAGATTTTCATATATGTATATGCATGTTGGGGGTTGTTACATTGCTTTTATTTTTAAAAACCTAAAACTTTTTAAGTACTTTATAAAATGATTCTTCAAGGTTTCCATGTATTAAATTATTACTGTTCATTAGAAAATGATACTAACAGCCTTATGTTTTTCTGATTCAGTTAAACTCTACAGGACTGGCATCAGAATTAGTGCTGTAGCAAATTAATGCCAAAACTAAATTCAGTCAACACAATAGAAAAACCAAGTTGATTATTCTTTAACATCTGTTAACTAATTTTTTGTCATTGTAGATCTTTATTTTCTAAAAATTTCCCATTTTCTTTCACATGTTCTACCATAAAATAACTCTTTTTACCTCTTGACACTTATGGTCGATAGACTGTGCTTTCTGTTCTTCGTAATAGTGAAACAGAAAGCAGGGTCCTGCGTAGCATTGTCCCTTCCCAGGCTGGGCCTCCTCAGCATCCGGCACTGTCTCGAGTGTGACCACGCCCAGCTGGGAGCAGAGAGAGGACAGCAAGACAGAATCCAAGCCTCTTTACCTTAGACAGTTAGTAGTTCATGTTTACTACACTACTCTCTATTAGATGATTAATTAATAAATCAGCCACATCAACCATATATAGACATGTTTTGTTTTCAGCCTAGTTGCTACATTTAAATCTGGGTTTCATTTTCTAAAAATGTTTCAAATCAGATATTCGGATCTACGAGTATGAGTTTCCAAACTGTCTCATAATAAATTAAAATCTTCATAAATCTTGTAGTATATAACCATCATATCAACACAGGGTTCTTCATGTATTCTTATAGTCTTAGTATTGAAATAAATAGAAAGACATTATAGAAAATCTGAAGACCATGATCTTTTCCATTCAGATTGCTCATCTTTGCATTCAGCAGGTAATTTTTTGAGTGTGTACAGTGCTTGGACACCAGGCAAGGCACTAGAACTACAACAGTGAATGAAACAAGATAACCTGTTACAGATCGTTCACTAAACATCAACAAAAAAAGTAAAACCCATAGCACATCAGAGGCAGTGAGCCCTGTGGGTGAGAAGCAAGGCAGAGGTGGTTCAGCTCATATGGCACAGGCAAAGAAGATCAGTGGTGTTGAGCCAGAGACCAGTTCTCATCCAAACGAGCATGGGTCCTTATGACTTCAAAGACTCAGAAAACAACTTATAAACATGCAAACTCCTGTTTTCATCCGCTAATGACCCAAAGTACTTCTAAATCTCCCTTCCTCCATTCCAAAAAAAAATTAATATGTAAATCCTACAGAAATTTCTGACATTGCCTACTTGGGATAGTATGTTAGATCAGTGATGTTAAATCAAGGTTTTTTTTCCTATAAATAATTGTGGTCAGGCCGGGGATTTAGCTCAGTGGTTCGGTGGCCTGCCTTGCAAGCGCAAAGACCCGAGTTCAATCCCCGGTACCAAAAAAAAAAAATTGTGGTCAAGGGAATACACATTGGATTTTACTTTATATTTAGTTCTTCAAGGTCCCCATTTATTAAATTATTAATATTCAATAGCAAATGGTACTAAAACAGGACCTGATGGTTTGGCATAGATTTCTGAACATTTATATATTGTTTACTACATTTTTCAATTTCCATGTAAAAGTAAAACTATCAGTCTTTAAGATTTAGCAGCAAAAAACCTGTAATCTTTATTATAGGCTGTTATACTTTTTCAGAATCTTAAAAGTCTTGTTAGTTTAAGATAGTAAATTTAGCTTCAGCTTTGGTTTTATTAGGTACAAAATAAAGTTTTAGTTTCAAAAGTACAAAGCAACCTGGCTCTGGTGATATTTAGCAAGTTGTTTGCTTTATGAAATACATGAGATCCCGAGCTCCGTAACACCACTTTCTTCAGCTTTCATACCTGGGCTCCAGATTATGCATGCACAGTGGTTGGTGGATCCGGGGATTTACCACCCCTTCAGAGAAGCGCTCTGTTCAGAGATGCCATGAAACACCTCTCTTCCCACACAGGACTTCGCACAGACACCGAGCCAGGCGGAGCCCCAGCTGCACCAGCCCAGAGGTAGGTCTCCAGGAAAGTGGACTCTGCGTCTTTCATAGCCAAATGCACATGTTTGTATCCGCCCTTTGTGAAGCATTAGAGAAATTCATGTTTCTTTCATTTTTGCCCTGAAGCACAAATGCATCTGAATGTACAGAGAAGTCAGTGTCAGTGAAGAAAAGCACAGACCTTCTTTGTGCTCCAACTTCATGCAGGTCAGAGCAGAGGTGCATAATCATTAGGAGCTGCTCTGGAGTGCAGAGGGTGGCAGGTCATGGACATTAGCCTGTGGCACTCATACCAACGCTGAAAAAAAGGTTTAGTCCCCTATCCATGTTCAGATTAAAAACTTTAATAATAGCCCAAATTTCCTCCCTAAATTCAAGTATTTGAACTTTTTATTGAAAATAATTGTTTTAACCAAGCATGGTTGCACAGACTTGTAATCCCAGCATTTTTGGAGTCTGAGGTAGGAGGACTGACAGTTTGAATCCAGCCTGGGCAATTTAGTGACTTAGTGAGACTCTGTCTCAAAAAAAATTTTTTTTAATTTATCTAAAATATATAAAGAACTCAAAAAACATAGATCACCCAAAAGAAAAGGCCCACTCAAGAAATGGGCAAGTGAAAGAACAGACATTTTTACAGAAGAACAAACAGGCAGAAAACATGAAAAAGTCTTCCATGTCTGGCTATTTAAACAACACTAAGATTTCATTTTACACCAGAAAGAATGACCATCATCGAGAAGACAAAGAATAACAAATGCTGACAAGACTGCAGTGAAAAAAGAACTTTCCTGTGTTGTTGATGGAAGTATAAAGTAGTACAATCACTATGGAAATCAGGATGGAGATTCCTCAAAAAACTAAGTTTAGAAATTCCATTTGACCCAGATATTCCCCTCCTAGGTATCTTCCCCAAAGAACTAAAGACATCATGCACAACGATATGTCTATAACAATGTTTATATCAGCACAATTCATAATAGCTAAATCCTGGAAGTAGCTTGTATGTCCATCAGCAGACAAATGGATAAAGAAATGTGATATTTATGCACAGCGGAGTACCATTTGGCTATAAAGAAGGATAAATGTGAGACATTTGTAGAACAGTGGATGCCTCTGGAAAATATAATGTTGAGTGAAATCAAACACATAAGTTTAAAGAATGGCATTTCTCATTTGAGTAAAGCAAAGTACAAACAAAAGGCAAAGTAAAGGATGGATAGAGGGAAACAGGAGATAGAGCTTCTGAAAATGGGAAAGGGTCCAGGAGACTGAAGGATAGGGGGAGCAGAAAAGGCAGTAAGAAGATTTAAAATGTGTCATACAGACACCAAGTACAAATACCAGACACCCACAATGAGTGTGAGTATTCTATGTCATAAACATGACCAAGAAGAATAATAAGAATAGAAAGGGGAAAGAGTGGTCTAAAGACAGAAGGAGGGAAATGGGTGGGAAAGGGAAAGTGATTAAAAAAGAATGCATCTGTGTTAGGAGCACGTGCCCTTTCCCCAAGATGAATGTAAACTTCATTTGTACTAATAAAATAAAAAATTTTAAACGTGAAGGGCCAGGGGTTGTAGCTCAGCACAGAGGCCCTAGGTTCAGTCCTCAGTATGGGGGTGTGTGCAGATTTTTCCCTGTTGAGGCATTTCCTCTAATCTGAAATAGAAATTTACAATTTCAAGCTTTTACTTTTCAAATATTGTGATCCCAGACTAAGGTTGAGAAATACAGTTTTGTCTTTGACTGTTGCAGCAGCATCTCTGAGTAACATCCTGGTCCAGATGTTCCCCAATTCCTCATTAGCTTGATTGTGCTTAAAATGGCATTCAAGGCCCACTCCCAAGGGTAAGTCCCCTCTTTGAGCTGCCTAGGGCTATGCTGCCTGGTGGGCAGGTGTTTGAAACTATGTAGCAGGAAATAAATCTAAGTTATGATGTCACAAGAAATGCCTTGTTTTGTTGACTTAGAAAAGTAAACAGAAAGCTGTGTAGCTTTTCAGACATTCAAGCCAACACCCCAGCCAGTGCCATTGGCCTAGGCCAGGATTCACATGCCAGTCCAGCTCTGCCAGACTCAGCCATAGCCTCTCCTTCCCAGCTCTTAGAGGACGCCTGGAGACAACATGAGCTGTTACTTATTACCAAACAATTTTTTACATTTCAAACATGAAAATACTTTTAAAAGTCATCTAATGTATTTATTTTTAATTGTACAGCAGTTGGGGCTTTTTCCTGGGTTTTATGTCTGTGTGTGTGTGTGTGTGTGTGTGTGTGTGTGTGTGTGTGCCAGGAAGACTTACAGACATTTTTTTTCTTCTTACACTTTCTTCTCCCAAGAAAAGAGGAGTCACCAGGTGCTGGCTGTCTGGGAGGCACAACCTAGGTAGGAGCTGCCCCTGTGAACAGGGTAGTGGGCAGCTCTGCCCTCCTCTCCTCTGCCTTCTCTGCTGTCCAAATGGGCAGCAGCCTCTGCTTTGCTCCCAGAGAGCCATCAGTGAGGGCTCGTGTTGTCTTTACTCAGTTAAAGAAAAGATGATGCCTAATAGTCAGTCAGCGGGCACCCTGATATCTGTCCCTTTTTTGCTTAGAAGAGGCCCCCACTACATCTCCAGATGTCCTGAGCTGTGCCCCATGAACTCAGCTGGAGGGGAGCTCAGCCACCAAGGGCTCCTCCCCAGTCCCTCTGCCCTGAGGGACACTGTGCTTTCCATTATACTTAAGCTAAACACATTTTCCATTAAGCAGACTATTTGAGGGCTGGGTGTGGCTGCATGGCAGCTCAGGCTCAGCTCAGCCTGTGGCCCTAGGTGCCATCTCTGGTCACAGTCACATCTCACACTGCACACCTTCCCTCACTCCAGAGTCCTCAAGTTGTTTCCATCGTGTTTTACATATGGATTGGTATCTGTGCAAAGAAGCACATTGGGGTGTAAAGTATATATTCTGTATTTCATACTTTCAATAATTCAATATCAAGACAGGTCACCTCATTTACATAAAAAGGATGATCTATGAGAAGTGTGTCTCCAACTGGTTCTCATAGATATTAAAATAAATTTAATTTTTTAAAAATCAAAGAATGTGTCTTTTTAATTTAACTATTTAATCTTTGTTCCTCTCAGGAAGATGCCTTGGTCCCCAAGACTATCTTGAGCTGGCTAACAGATTTCCTCAGCAGGCCTGGGAAGAAGCGAGGCAGTTTTTCTTGAAAAAAGAAAAAAATTAAGTGTGCTAGCTGCTCTGAATTTGAGCACCTTTGTTAATATGTCCACTGTCCCTTATGACACCCGCTGGCCTTGTTTATACCCCCAATGTTGATATGGAATATACTTCGCACTATTTATAATGACTGTAGATACTTCAATGTCCTTCATAATTTTGCAAGTTGAATTTATTTCACTCATGAACAGTATTTTGGAGTTTGTTAACTTCCACCTTATGGCAATATATAATTTGCATTTGTAATACCGGAAAAATTAGAAATAAAATTAGCACGTCTGTTTTGTTCTTGTAATAAAATAACTTATTCTAGTTTCCGTGTTGCCTTTTTGTGTGAAAGTGATACAAATTCAAAAGAGAAGTGTTCATTCCAGCTCCTGGCGCATCTTAACTAAAGATTTAACGTTGGCCCGCTGAGATTTTTCCGGGATTTGGAGTCAGGCTGTTTACAGCACTGCACTGTAGCTTCCTGATGTGCTAGGCTTCGTGAAGCTGCTCAGAGCGCGGCCCTGGCCCTGCCTTCGGGACAGAGACCCCCTCTCAGCCCCGAGCCCCCCACCCGCCGGTCGAATCGTTCTCAGAATAGTTGAGTGATGGAGACATAGGTTCCCCGAGAGGACTTCTTTAGATCACCGAGAGTAGTAGCAATGCCAGGTAGAACAGCAGTCCCTGCCATTTTAAATTATTGTCTTGCTCGGTCCGGCCTTTCCACATCTGCTCCACCTAAGCCCAGGTCGGGGCTAAACCGGTCACTGAGTGACATCAGTAATAATTTCTGTCGGATTAGGATCAAACATTACCAGGAAAGAAGACCCGGTCTGGAAGGATTGATCTGAAAACCTGTTAAGCTGGAGATCCAGGGAGCTGGGAGGTGCAGGAGCCGCGCCGCTCTGCGGAGCAGACTCACCTGGGCCGGGGAATCGCGGTGCGGCTGACTGCTTTGCACTGCATCTCTGACTGGGAGAAAGTGGGATCTGACTGAAAAATGAAAAATAAAAAAAAGAGAGAAAAGGCGAAGGCCTCCCGTGCGCACAGATAGGACCCCGTCCGCGACTCGGCCCGGAGTCGCCTGGCCGCGGTGCCGAGGTTAAGGCAGGAGGAGGCCGGGCGAGGGCCCCGGTGCTCAAGCTGTCAAGAGATATTCACAGGGGTCCCCGCTCTGCCTCCACAGTGGGGGCCTCTCTCCTTTTGTGTTCGGGAGTTCGCCAGAAAGCATAAACCACTCAGCCGCTGCACCTAGCGCCCGGAAGCCGCGGAACCACTAGGGAAGGTCCGACCTGGTCCGGCACGATCCCCGGTCCTGGGTCCGCATACGTCCTCGGGGACCGCACTGGGCAGGAGACTGCGGGCGAGGCGAGCGGTTGGGGTGGGACCGGGACCGGGACCGGGACTCGGGCGGGAAGCGGGGAACCGGCTGGAGCCCTGATCGTCACCCCCCGGTTCCGGGCTTTCTCTTCAGCCTTGACTACGCGGCCCCGGGCTCAGGTTCGGCCTCACCAGCACCTCTGGTGCGGCCTCTCCAGCCGCCTTCTCC